CAGGAAAGGGAATTCACAAGCCTGAGACGGATTCGCCTCTTTTCACCTAGAGGAAAATCTATTTGCGATTCCTTAAAGAGGCAGGTGGATGCATTGCAAAGAGGTGGATGTTTGCAAACCAGCCAGGCATGCTTGAAATTGTTTTGATGCCTTCGCCGTACAAAATGCCACGTTCCAATAGCAATTTAAAGAGACACATCAGCCTCCAAAATTGCACTGCTGAAGGGTCTCCTGAAGCGTGTTGGCATTAAACAGGTTGTTGCTAAAACTAAACAACCTGCACTGGAGTTGAAATAAAGATCAAGTGTTTTGCAGAGGCACAGAGGCATCACGCACATTTTTATGCTGGGGCAGGTTAAGCAGTCAGGAGGAGTCTAGGTTTCCACAATTTCACGGGAGGGCAAAATCCATATCAATGGTTTATCGCTTGTAAGGTCAGAAGGATCCCTTATATCATCCAAACTGGCCTCCTGTATATCACAGGCCATTTCACTTGGCCCAGTGACCCCTGTACAGACTCCAATAACTCGGACATGCTGCCTTGAGAATCCAAATGCCGATGCAGTCATTTCAGGCAACTATTTGAAAACTGGGCTCAGTGCGCTATGCTCAAGGATCCTGAGTTTTGGCCAAGTGGCTGCCATGATCTTCATTGTCTTCTGCTCCCCCGGGCTCCAAAGTAAATGGAACATAATTTTTTGTCCATCTTGAAATGGGCCAAAGTGCTGTCCAACCAGTTCACACCAGACAAATGCTCAAAATAAATGGCTCCAAATTAGAGCCGCTACCAGGAATGTGGCATTGAAGGATTTAAAAAAACCAACCCAACAACCACCAGGAATAAGCACAAATACAGGATTAAAGTCATTAGCACAGCTGCTTGTTGAGTTTGTTCACATTTTTGCACAACTACGGATTTTCCAGCCCTAGCTACAAAGGTATTATAGTGGACCCCTCAACTATCTCTTTTGGTGAATTATGGACCTACAGTTCTACAGAACCTGGCAATGTAAAGGCTGCAGTCGCCTCCCAAAACACGTTATATCAGGCATCAGGGTCTGAAGGACTTATTGCACCAAATACATTCAAGTAAGGCAGAAGCTATTAGCAATCCCACTTCTAAGAGGTACTGATAATTCACCAAGCCTGTCAATAGGCAGACTGGTTTTTGCTGATTTCACAAAAGTTCATTGTTGTGTGCCTCGTATCCTTCAATTAAAATAGCAAAACAAAAGTGAATTAATGAACTTGCCAGTCAGTGCAATTAGAGATGCAATCAACTGTTACAAGGGACTCCTCCTCCATCTTCCAGCTTGAATTTGCATAATGACAGAGAATTCTTGACTTCTTACAAAATCCTCATTAAAAGGAGAACAGAAATGTCAACAAACACATAAATACTTGTACTGGACTAGTGATAGCAGCGCGGCTGCACTGTTTTAATTGGCACAAATCCAATTCTCCCATCAGGATAATTTCATTGACATTTGGCCTTGCGGGGGGGTTTCACTCTAGGACAGGATTAATGTCTCGTTAAACAGCATGTTCGTATTGTTCTCACTTTATTAAAATATTGAGGTATCCAAAGGGGTAGAAAAAAAAAGAGTTAATTTACAATTAAAAGTTGCTGCTAGGTGGATTATGATTAAAACCCTCAAACCACTCCATGCTGTGGAAAGCAACAAAGAAGAGAAAGCGTATGCATATGCAAATCGTATCCGTTCATCTCGTCTTGTAAATAAACACACACGCGCAAAATGTCACAGTGAGTCTCCAGAAGGACGACAGCGTTCGAACACTGTAAACAACACCAAATCCTCCAAGAGCTCGTTTGGAAGATCTGGAAATATTTCCTAATAGGTTAAAATGGCGCCTAAAATGCTTTTCGATGTAGACCTCTCCGCTACGGTTGCGCTGAAAGGAATCCCTAGAAAAGCCACCAAAATGATGAAGGAGGACCAAAGGAAATTACCCTGTAAAGATCAAAAACAGTTTTGGCCCTCCTTCCAATGCAAGCGTCGCTTCTCCACATGCAACTTGGTTCACTCACCCACGTAGCGGGCCTGCAACACAACTGGCTAAACAGCACACGCGGCAATTGTGCCTTTCAAGAGCCCGCACTCAATGCCCACCACCAGTTCGCAGGAGCGATTCTGCTTGAAGGATGGGGTCTACTCGACGACCATGGCAGAGGGAAAGTTTTCTTGCACTTCCTCTACACACGGCCCAGCACGGCATAACTGCACATGTGGGGGGAGAGAGGGACACCAGGTATAACTACGTTGTTGGATGATCCCTGTAAATATAATAAGCGTGGATTTATGGCACTGAAGGAGATGCATGGCAGGGAGGGGCTAACGAGATTAAATTTGCCAAAGGAAAGTCTGTGCTGAATGTCAGGAGTGATGGTCTCACACGGAGGTCTGCTAAATTACGGAACAGACCCCTGGAAGCCCAGCCCCTAAATCTGCACTGGAAAAAAATATCGTGGACAATCAGCTGAGCTGTAGAAGTAGCGTAAGAAAAGAGACACGAGGAAGCCACACGTGAGGGTGTCCATTAGCTGCAATGCAAGTCAGGGCGCACGCCCTTATTGGGGAATGCCAGCTCGTTTGCTGAAGATCTAACACAAAGGCATGCTACAGCTTTGGGGCTTTAATGGGTTTTCACTGGAAGCAACAATCACCCTGCAATACTTTTAAAAGTGATCGCAGTTGATTATCACAACATGCAATGGGGAAGCCTGCACCTTGACAGAGTCCCTTTAAGCATCCTTGTCCAAAGGATATAGCACTAGCCAAACGAGTCCCAATAACAGGCATCGCAGAACAGACACTGGGCAACTGTGCTGTAAGTATGAGAGCCTGTGTGTGTGTGATAGGCTTTGGGCACAACGTACAGCACTAGCAAGGCACAAGGACACAAGGACAAGCCCAGATAGGAGCCAGGGGGATCAGAGTCGATTCGGCTTCCCTCCCTCCATTAAGCATCTAACTTGGTGCTATTAGTACCGCCTGCAGAATGGGCACAGGCGCACGTCTCGCACCCCCGCTGCTGCTGTGTGGTTCCCTGTGCTTCTCCGCTCCTGCAGGAAGACTCGTGGCTCAGCCCCTGCCTAAGCCTGCCAGAGAAATAAGCTTAGCATTGAAGAGGGACAGAGATGCTCTATGCCCTGAGCCACAGCTCAGTCCTCCGCCTTCCTCCCACCCAGTACACCTCGCTGCAAACCTGTCGCCTTCCCTGTCTGGGCAGGAGCAGGGGGGCACTGCTGTGGGAACCCACCTAGATGACGATGCTGAGCTAGCCACAAATTCCATGCTGTCCAAGGAGACAAAAGCCCCCCCAAGGGTCCTACCAATCTGCCCGGTGTCTCCTGGGACAAGCCATGATAGTTTGCAAGATGCTCAAATGCCACTATCCACCCTACACGGCTGAGGAGGACTTGCAAGATGCAATGAAAGGACCCTGCTGTTCTCCAACCCAGTCCGGGCTACGCCATCCCCAGGACCCACGCTTCATTTTCAGGCAACCAGCTGTTGGGTTATAATCAGCATCTTGACGGAGATTTCCAGAGGCGAGTTAATTAGTGGTGGCTATCTGGAATGTCAGCAGGCTGCCAGCGACCAACAGGTCTGTTTGCTTTGGGTGCAAGTGCAGAATGATTGATTTCAGCAGCGTGTGAATGCATGTTTGTAGCTTCACTTCTGGAATACATTTGTAATACCTCGCCATTTGTGGGGGGGACAAATACTGTAATTTATTCGTAGACATGATTTGCCACTGGTGGTGCCTAAATACATGTGTGCGTGTGTACATATCTATTTTAAGATTTACATGGCCCCGGTGCAGCGTCTGCGGCTTTCGCGTTTCAAAACAGGAAGTGCTCCTCATTGATCTGGGAGCTTTTCCATCATTCTGCTATTGTAAACATTATCAGCCTTCAAAATCGGTAATGCGTTGCAGATGTGAGAAACGATAAAAGGCCCATCACCAAAGCCCTCCATCTTGGTGCTTTTTCCATTGGGGCAACATAATCACGAATTGATTAGCATACAGAGCTCGCCAACATATGTTTAGAGTCACTCGCAAACTTTTGACTTGACATTTTACAAGTATGTTTAAATCATTAGCGTTTAAGTCAACTGACCAGCTTTTACGGGGTCGTTATGGATAGGAAACAAAGGTTATACTTTATGCAACAGGAGATAAATCAAAACTAGTCCTCTTTAAAAGTGCTCCCTTCTCCCCCTCTCCGTCCCTCAAGCCATCGAGGGGGGCGTCTTGGCAGCAAAAGTGCTGGCCAGAAGCAGCTCGCAGGCAAGTGGCAGACCCAGGGAACCTGCTCTCGGGAGTCGAGGCACTTCAGATCACTTAGGAAAAGTAGCATTCAACTTTCTGATACCAAAAGTCTCTTGTCTGCAAACTAGAACTTTATTTCACTTTAACTTCTGACCAGGACCCAACATCCTGTATTTTCTCCATTGCAAAATCCCCAAATCCATTCCAAATCTCTCTCTCTCTCTCTCTCTCTCTCAGGCACTGCTAGCAATGGGACACTGGTCCATCCATGACTGAATTCATTATGGAGACTCCAAAGCTAAAAAATGCACCCTTTAGGAAATGCTCAGGTAGCTCCATTCACTGCCCTGGGACTGCTCATGTGCTTAAAGTTAAACACATGCTTAAATGCTTTGCAGGATTGGTCCAGGGCTCTCAGCACCTTGAAGGACCAAGTCTGAAGAGAACAAAATGCTCAGAGCCTACCTCTGGTTTCTTAATTTAACAGTCTTTTGCTATCCCAGACAAGCCCTCACCTGCAGTAGATGCAACAGTGCACCCTGCCTGGGGTGAAAGGGGCACGGCTGTATCTGAGTTTCTCGCACATGGACCTTGATATTTAGTTACTGGATGAGAAAAAATCCATTTTATCCTGATTTCTATCTGCAGTCTATTGCCTAACATCACTTTGAGCTGGAGTAGGGGACTCAAAAGGCCTTCCCTGTCTCTGAATCGATATTTTAATATAAATATTGTATTTACACATAACATAAAATACACAACTTTGCTACAAACCTGGCGTGTGTACTATTTCAGTCTCGGCTCATTAAGAATATTTTAATCGTCTTAGCTCAATGCAAGGAAGTCTATAAACATCTGTGCTTAGTTTCAGTCCAAATTTGCCTCTCAAACTTCAAAGCGGCCCTGGCTGATCTTATCCCGGTTCGGTTGTCTGGTCTTTAGGAAGAGGAATACGCAGCTCCCAGGACAGGAGCAAGTTGAGCGCATGCCTGCACATTTAAGTTAAGCCAAGCCTGGTGCAAACCAGCACAACTGCACTGAAGCACGACGGTCAGTTTATGTCTGCAGAAGATTTGACCTAAAACAAACCGTCTGGTCCAAGCGACAGCAGCAGAGTCCTCCGTGTCTAACAAGGCGTAGAGAGGGGGAGGAATTTGAGAAGTTGTTATGTATTAACATCGGCAGCATCTTCTCAAATCGGAGCAGTTCCCCCATTACCCTGTTCCCGGGTTGCATTTTCTAAGCCATCTCAATGCTACAGATGCCCAAGAAGCAACCGTGGCACTTGGGAACATCCATCTCTTTGGACTCCAAGGGAAATGAGGCTCCTCGGTCACTTCTGAACATGGGGCCTAGAAGCCTTTAAAACAAAAAGGAGCTTTACTGTAGGCCCCTACGGCCCAGAGAAGCAGCCACCAGTGGGTCTTGCCTCCACAAACAGAGACTTTCTCCAGGGAGGAATGCGATTCTCCCAACCAAACCCACCCCAGAGGGGAAGTGAGCAGGGACCACCAGCTAGCAACCATGTTTGAGTCCACCCAGAAGCCAGCCCACGGCGTCTGCAGGATGCACTGGGCAAAGGAGGAATGTGACAGGGCCAGAAGCATTACGTGACCGTAATGGACCCTGCAAACCCAGGGCAGCTACATGGAAGCCAGGCCTACAGGAAGGTGGGCAGATACGGTCCCACTGCCATGATGCCTCTAGGGAAGTAGCTTATCAACTCTCTGTAGCATCACTGCAGCTTTAAACTCCCCGTACTGCTTTAAATTCAATGCTCACTGACCCAGATCTCCAGATCTTGCTCCAGATCTCCAAGGCTGGCTACCTCCTCGCACTGCAACAGAAAGCAAAGCCAGAAGTCTTGTCACCTGCTAAGAACTGGAGCTGGTTCTTCACTCTGACGTCTCCATTCCCGGAGGCCCCGCTGCAGTCGTCTTCATCATCACAGTCCCCACTCTCCGACTCGTCCTCGTCCACGGTTTTGCTGGGAGTTTTCTGCCGCGGCACTGACATCCCTTTCAGCAGCTGGAAGGCACAATTTCAGAGTCACACCCAACGAAGCTTTGCTACTTTCCCCCTTCCCCGCTCCTTCCCCGTGCCATGGGCCGATTGGTTCTTAAACACGAGGAACTACGCTTATGAAGCAAAACCTCTTCCTCCCCCATGGCTTAAGTTGAGGTTAAGGGTGGCTGAGACAAAAGGAAAAGGTAATTAGTCCAAGCGCCTTAAAGAATTGGGGTTGTTTGCATATGAAATGGCAGCTCAAAGTCATCATCGGAACAGACAACGGGGCAAAAATATTGCAGAAGTTTGCTCTGAAGCAGCTTCAATGTACTCTCAGGCCCACTGGAATCACTGGGAGTTTGGGCCTAAATTACTCTGTAATTGCTAGGTGGTGTAGGATCTTCATCCTTACATATAATATAAATATAATCAGCAGTAAGACACCAGACTTTAGGAAGTGCTGAGAGCACCAGTCAAGGTGCACAGAACTGGGAGGGGTCAGCCCTTCCTCAACTGAGACCCAACAATAATCATGCAAGTATGGGCTGCAAGTAGAGACCCAGGCGTGCGGTACAAAACAGCAGCAAGCCCCATTTTGGACCCAGGCCAGCCCCCAAAAAGTCTCGTTGAATGTAGCCAGGCCCAGAGTCACCCCTACCCCAAGCTGACCCACCCGCGAATGGGCACCTAGTCATTGAGAACGGAGAGTCAACAATGGTGGAAGAGATGCCAGCCACGTGAGGGCTTAACCTTGCCATGATGATCCCATGGGGTAGACCATGGATCTTCGTACAGATTGCAAAGATCTTCACTGAGAAAAATAGCCTCAATCTCCTCATGTCATGCCTCAACTCATCACAGCACCCTCAACCTATACCACCACTGCCAAGCAAGTCTATGAAAATTCAAAACCAACTCTTGGGGAAGTCTATGAAAATTCAAGACCAAGTTGCTCCCCAAGGGCCTGAAAATACTTGATCCTTCCCCTTTAACAGTGGCTAGAAGAAATGAGAACCTTTTTGGTCGTTCTCTTCCTCTTGCTGATTCTTCCTATTTACTGCATCTAAAAGGACCAAGCAAGTCCATCGCAAACAGATTTGTTTTGAAAAGTCTGAGTCAGCCGGTTAAGATATGCTGAAAAATTCCACCGCTGCCACGACATATCTGAAAGCTTTCTTGGATTTAATCTCCCGACATTAAAAAAAAATAAAAGAACAGGATAAGTAACACAGAAGATATTGCAGCCTGGGAGCTTAGTGCCTACTTTGGGGGCTCCATCAGTTCCTCCTATTCCGGCGATACACATACCTCTCAAGGTATTTTTTAATATCTGGAATCTAGGTTATATTTTTAAACTACTAAGCCGCCCTGAAAAAACGGCTCCTAAAATATTTAGATGCCGGAGTTTATACAACCTTAGAGGAATGTTTTCCATGTCTGGCTTCACATGTCCACGGCAACATAAACACATACCTTACTGCTTACACTGGAGTAGCACAACGTAATGAAAAACAAATGGCCTGCCGCGAATCCACTTTGCCTCTGCACTTCGTGCCATTCGCATTGGCATGCCCCACACGTTTAAAACCCGACAGCGTAGCAACCACTTTTTTCACACGTTTAAAAATGTACGACGTGCCGTGAAATATTTCAGAAACGCGGGCAAGGAAGCAAAGACATTAGGGTGGACGTTGCTAAGGAATTAAGCCGGCCTTTCCCGACTCTGGCGGGGTGGCGAGAGGGCATTGCACCTGCCCAACGCGAGAGTTCACCAGCCTGGTTGCATTGGGACCCAGATGGTCACCTGTCACAGCTGACATTTGTATGGCTCATTAATAAAGCACCTGCTGCCTGGGTGCACTTCCACCCAGTAACAGGAGGGAGAACTCCCACATCTGATAGGCTTCCATCTGTCCCGGGTTTCACACCACTGCTTTTCTTTTGCAATATGCTCCAATTCCCGTCCACTTTCTCCTTCTTTATTTTACACGGATTTCAACTGATATTTAAAAGAAAAATATCCAAGGAAAACACGGGGTGGCACACCACGGGATGGGGTAGCATAGCTTAAGAGATGCCCAGACCTTAGGTCCATCTTGCCCAGTCTCCTATGTCACGTGGCAGCAGAGAGTGGAGGCTGAAGGGGGGACTGAACTGGGTTTTTCCCCCCTGTTCCTCTCCCGCTTGCAATCTCCAGCATCTAAGGTCCAAGAAGCTTGGATGCAGAGCCCATGCCCCGCACTCCCATGCCCGCAGTCCCAGTCCTGCCCATCAGACGAGACATGCCCCGTATCTGTAGACAATGGCACATGAGACACGTGGCTAGCACCAGGCCCTCCATCTGTGTTGAGCTCCCCCAAGCCCTCATGGGAATCCAGGGCAGGGCTCACACCTGCCCCTGGGGCTGCAGCGAGACCCCAGGACTATTCGGCTGCCAGGTCCTGGCACATGGCATTACACAGGCATCCAGCAGTCCGTGCACCTCCTCCCTTGTCACACACTTGGAGCCTGATCTGAAGTGCAAGGAGGGATGTTTCCATCCAGTTTAATGGGCTTTGGCTCAGCCCCTTTACGATCACTCTCGGAGACCGGTTTTTGTTAAACGTTTACAGGCTTTTCCCAGAAAACGGCCTGACCGCAGACAAGGGAAAAAGAGCAAGCGCTTGTGGCTCTGGGTGCAGCAGCGGGAAGACCTCACACCAAAGCAGGACGAGGGGACTGTCCCAAGCTTTCCAACAGGGTGGGTGGGATATCCCCACTCCTCACCCTGTAGAGCAGGACTACAAGGAAACACTTCAATAGAGTTCACATTCAAGTGAATGAAGTGGCAGTTCTTGCAATGGGTCTTATAGGTGCCTAGGAGACTCCTCCAGTACTACAAGCTAGTTTGCTGGAGGATATGCATCCTTTGAGGTCCCTGAAATAATCAAACTTCACCTCAGCAGCTTCCAGACTTGTTAGAGACCTGTCTGTCTGGATTAGCTCAAAAAGACCAAAGCAACTTGAAAGCGGGGAATCAGGCCATTGGACACCTTCTGTCTTAATAAGCAGTCCTGCGAAGAGCATGCAAAGAGTGAATGTTTGCACATCTAGGGATCCCTCCCCCACGTTTGCTTGCCACCCCACCAAGAAACAGCTGAACTTGCCCAAGACCCACCAGCTCCATCTGAATGGCGTGGTGTGCACAAGTGCTGCAGCCAGCAAAGAGACACATATTCCCAATGGCTTTCCCTAAGGCTCTCAGGAGCCGCGAGGATGGCAGGGAAGTGACGGGAGGCCAGAACTAGCCCCCGGCTTTGCACAGCCGCAACAGACGGCACTTGCTGTGGCCCTTCCCGGCTGCAAAGTGGGATGTTGGCCCCATCTGTTCACACTTGGTTATCCCTGGTTCGCACTTAGTTATCCTTGCCTGCAAAGCTTCAGCCTTGCTCCGGAAGCACTGCACAACCGCGCTCGCTGCCACTATTAGCAATGAAAGGTAAAAGGAGCCATCCTCAGCCTTTGCTGTTTGCATTTCCTGGTGCCTGGGAGCCGTGGCTTCCCATTACCAGCCCACTGTGCAAGGTGCTGTGCAAAGCGGGGCAAAGACAGCCCCCGTACCTTACAGCCCTTTGTGCAGCTATCTGCATTAGTGAAGGGGCCGAGGTTGGGACTGTCAACAATACCCAGCATTAATGTACCCCTGCTCCCACTGAAAGCAATGGTAAAACTCCTGCTGGCCTCTGTAGGACTGGAAATCCCTGTCCCCCCGCCCTGATACACCAGTCCCACTGTATTTAGCACATGAACACAGACAGTTGTTTTAGCTTCTGCACAAGTGGCATCCCTGAGTCCCACCGATTTACTATTAAAGTGCCAATTACTCCAGTCCATAGGCTTTATAAAATTACATTTGGAGGACTAAACATAGCTCCTTCCTCTTTAAATAGCAACCAAGCCAAAATGGTACCCTGACATTACAGCTAGTTCATGTCCTGTGGTTTTTAGTCTATGGTAAGAGGCAGGAAAATACACAGTCTGATCATCAGTAAAGTAGTATGTAATGAGAAAATTTGAACGTAATCACAATTTGTCCAGCTGTAAGAGTTTACGGTCGTATCTGTTCCTCCTCTCTGCCAACCCATAATGACAAAAATACACCGTAGGTACACAGTGTGCCTATCCAAAAGGCCAGAACAAGTTGTGTGTGTGTAGAAATTACCTAGGTGACATCTAAGGTGCTTACGGTAGCAACTGAGCATTAAATACAAACACGGGGTAAATGAGAAACGATACCCCCAGGCCATATCCTCAGCTACTAAAAAAATCACCATCGCTCCAGTGCTCTGAAAGGAGTAACATCACTTCACTTCAGGTGAGACCAGGGCTCGTGTGTCTTTCCTAACAAGGGACAGGACAAGTTGGAAGAAAAGCCATGCAGTCACTTAAAACAGTGACGATCATTTCAGACCAAACAGGGTTGAAAATACAGAGCCTTCGTTCCTTGTGCCAACTCAGAGAGATCAGCCTGAAGTGGAAATCAGCTCAGGAGCTCATTCACCTGCATTTCAATCTTTGTAAAACTAGGCTTGCTTTGTGGATCTCGTTGACGCTTAAAAAATAAAATAAAAGAATCAAGCCAAGTCCGAACACTGTACTGGAAATTACAACTTATTGCATGTGTCATTGCCTAGGCACTCCTGTTTCAGGGGCATTATTGGTTATAGCATTAATGGATAAATTATTCATAACAGAACAGTGACCAGATTTAAAGACAAAAACAGAAGGAGCAATCACACTTCCAAAATAACAACTACGCTGGATTTTAATTGAAACCCCAGTAACAAAAAACTTCGCCATGTACCTTAAAGTCAGCTTAAAACAGAGACTACCAGCCTACCACCCCACAGAGCCATCCCGATCCCTGCTTCCCCATGTAAATGTAAGCACAGCAGCATCACATTTTTTATTATTATTATTATTATTCTTGCTACTTGGTAGCCCATTAGCAGAAATCTGCCTTTCATTCCTCGAGCTGCAAC